TATGCCAAATACAGACCAGCTGCAATTAAATTACTAGAAATTTTTCCATTTGTTCTCTTTAAAATAGAGAATGAAATAAACAGTATTTAAATGTCTGGCTTGTCAAGTCCTATCCTATAGGTGTTAGGTTCTATTACAGATCTATTTGAATAAAGATTTACATCTCTACATCCTTAATCCTTCCAACATATATTGAGCTTTCTGTCCAAGATCAGTCATTTCCATTTCAACAAGCCTCTTAAAGAGGCTCTGGAAGACCATGATGATATCAGAGGCAAATTTAGCTTTCCTCTGAAGAGCAGTTCCCATGTTTGTTGCCATTAGTGCTAGTTTTACTATAGGCATAAAAGGGGATGCCAGCTCCTCTGCAAATATTTTAAAGCCATTGGGCTAGCAGACAAACACAGCAGCAGCTGTAAGATGAAATACAGAGGTGTATCTATAACACTGTATGTCCAACTGTGGCTTACAATAGACTGGAGATCTAGAAAGATGTAAGGAATGCTACAACGGGATGATAATAGCAGAGTGACAAAGTCTTTAGCTACAGCAAATGAGAAGGAGCCCAAATGCAGCAGCCATAGATACAGAAATAAAGGAAAAGAGCTGCTTACCTTGGGAAGGCCTTCAGGTAGGCAGGCACCTCCAGTAAGAGATGCCCTCACCTCCACCGCCAACCCTTAAATGAGGTCTGGGAAGGGGTGGATCTTGGCTCTACTCCTGGAAACTCAGATACATTACATGCACCTGAGCTCCCCTGGGTTGGCCCTGCATTCCCACCAGGTGCTCAATCACTGCTTCAGGCTGTGACTTAGCATTTCTGCTACAGAAGTCTGTCAGTGAATGGTCACAGCTGGATATTCTTATCCTGAATTCGGAGATCCTTTAGAAGAAGAAAGCATGTCCAAAAGAATGAGTCTCTAGCTAGCTACTGAACAACTGTTCCCCTTCAGCAGGTTCTGACAAACGGGATGATTATTCTCCATTAGTGTTTCATTATTACCTGGATATTTTCCTTTGTAGCACACTTAAACAAGCAGAACCTAGCCTACATCTGAAGTACAAAGGAACAGACAACTGTACGGTACAGGAAATATAATTACAAACATGAAGCCTTTATTTTACTATTTAGTTGTCAATAAATAAAGAAATCTGATTTGCAACTCAGAATCTCACGCTCTAAGGGAACATTCTGGCTACAAAATTGTAGCTTTTGCAAGGAATCAGAAACAAATGTGATTCATTTTTCTGTTTTTTTTTTTTATTGCTAAGATTAGATTTTGGAAGTGGTAAGGTTAGAGAGAAGGAACTACCTATGGACCCTTTTATGATAATTCTTTATTTTTTTAAACTGGAGATAGTTTAACACGTACTGTTTTGAAAGCTGCATCACTATGGCAACCTACTAAAAAAATCACAGTAAGTACATCAGACACATTGGCATGTAAGCACTCACATGAGCTCGTGCTTGAAAGACAAAACCATCTCAAAATTTTCATTGCTTATATGATTTAGGCATAGGCTGAATATAAATAATCTCCTTTCTTGAATATTTACATTCTCATCTAATTGTAAGAGCCTTAACCCTGCATGAACTCTAGCCATGCAACAGTGGCAGGCATTTAAATTAAACTGCATACACCCATCTTCTTGAAATGCAATGTTTTGTTTTTCTGACACAAAACTGCTGTCACCTAGTATAGCCCTTTTAAAGCTATTTTCACTAGATGTTCTTCATTATAATTGTTAAAGACTAATTTACACATCCCATACAGATACATGGTAAATTTTCACATGAAAGCAAAATACAAAAAGCCTGATTAATTGAGCACTCAAAAATATAGAAATCTTAAATGCTGAATCACTGCACCTTAACTAAAAGAGTGACTAACAGCTCACATTAAACTGTATGCTACTTATTTTTAGTTAGCTTTATATCAGTAATTTTCTTGATGTGATCTAAGCCTTTGCACTCATTTTACTGTCACATTAGCATTGCTTACCCACAATTAGAGACTGTACTCTGGAACATATTTTCAATAGCTTTTTTTCAGTTGAGTAATAACCTTACTGATTAGTTCATGAGAATAAACACAGAGGTAAATAAATATAAAATACATTTTCAGATTGGAAGCTATGTTATGAACATACTGTACTTACAAAGGACAGATGCATTTGCAATCAATTATTCAAAATAAAGGAGTCCCTTAAACCACCATGTTCAAAATAAAATTCATGTCTTTTTAATATTTTCCAGCTATGATACAAGAGAGAACAACAGGACACCCAATTCTTCGTAAGGGCTTTATTACATGACTCCTAAGACAGACTTAAAAGAGAACTTAGGCACCGTAACACTGAGTGTTAAACTGCAAGGCATTTGCTCCATGTAACAAAAAGCAGGCTCTTTTTTAGATGCTTATAATTTTATTTACAATACAATGGAGAATTTTTTAACGTAGGCTGTGAACTAATTCGAAGAGCAGAGTGCATTCTAATAGGAAATTCTCAGAACAACGTATTTGCTAGATTGCTTTCATTTTACACATCTTCTCTGCAGCACAAGGCAAAGATCCATCACCCCCAGGAAACCTCTTCTTTACAAGTTCGATCTCACATAATGTATAGTCATACTCTCGCTCACAAATACAAAGTGCAGAACAGCTGTAAGCTGTAAAGATGCACTTTTCAACTCAAAAGAGCACTTATCATCAACAGATGACGGAAACATGCTTTCGGTTCTTGAAAACAGGTAGTGCCAGTCAGGGAAAAATCAGACTTCATGATGCTCTGCTTGGGGCACACTCCTTCCCTCTTGAAGGCAGGAAATTGAGTATGAACAGGACACTCATTAGGTATGAGAACTGTGTAGGATGGAATCTTCCTCTCATTTCTGCCTCAAGAACTGTGGCAGTTTTATCTAAAGACTGCCCAAAGAAATAATCTCCCATTAGTTACTGTGAAACTTGCAGAATTGCAGCTGTAGTGCAGGCAATTGTTTCTTTCGATTGTTTTTGTGCTCAAAGGGGGTGTTTGGGCACTCAGATGCCAGATGGTTGTCTGGAGAATTTTTTTAGTTAAAGAAACTTCCCAAATTTCAAAATTAATGTCAGTAAAATTATGTTATTTTATGTTTTTTATAATTATTTATGTTATATATTAAGTTCCAGTGGCTTTAGAGCAGATCACTCAAGGATTTCTGGTTGTGTGGACCTCTATGAGCCCCATTTTTCTATTAGTTCAAATGGTTGATTTGACTCAGTATCTACAGGAGTAACAGCTGTAACTGTTCTTGTTCTTACAGTTCCATACATTAAGAAAAGAGAAATAAAAACAAACTGCAGTTTGAATTTGTACCATTTGTACATTTCCTGCAGCCAATTCCATTAAGGAATGAAAGAAAATAATTCTGCTAATTTAGTAATTATGGCTCACAATACCTCTTTACTAATCAAAGGTCCAATTGGTTTGCCCTATTTTAGTTACCAATGTTCTCATTTTACTTAGTTTCTGTTCCTACATACACTAGAATGGAGAGAAACCTCATACAAATATGATTAAGTGCTTAAAGTTGCACTATTTTTTATAAATGCTTCAATAATTTCACAGGTGTTTAACAGCGACAAATAAAAACTGTTCTTTTAAAACCCAACTACTACTTCTCCAGGAGTTTCATCTCTGTTGCTCAAAGATCTGCAATTTATAGACTGGCAACCTGTTAACTTCCCAACTGCATCTCAAATGCAGCCAAATTCACTTTTAAAAAACTAACCCTTTGCCAACAATGTTGTGACCACTATAAATAAGCTTCTAGTTCACTAGCAGCGAGTCAATAAGGATTCACTGTGCAAAGAATGCCAGGGCTACTGGTACAGTCAACCACAGATGAACATTGTTAGATTTCATAAATGCTGAATGCCACTCTTCTCTCCTTAAAGTGACTGCTGGAGCTGTGAGAATGATGTTAATAATGCCGAGGAGCAAAGTTCAGTACCATTACATATACACTAAGCTTTCCATGGCCTAGAGAAATTCAGGGAGAAATATTAAATAGGGCAAGAGGTATAAAACTCATTAAACCTCCTCCTTCCCTCCCTCCACAACCCCAACCAAAACAAAATAAATTGTAAAAGCACTTGCCACCTTTTATATTTTTATTATGTGTTTTTTCAAGTGGTTAAAGATAGCAAACAATAGTGTATATATTGAAGATATGCAATATGGCATATAGTAAGATGTGGACAGATCCCCAAAAGTTTTTATGTTCTATTTCAAACAGGCAAAAATCAGAAGTTTTATTTCATTAAATGGGAGAAAGGCACAGAAAGTCAGTCTTGAATCACACAAAACAAAAGCAGAAATTGAACCTGACCTTCTAAATCTGTATGATAAGTTCATAAAAAAAGTACTGTGTACTTTTGATAACTAAAAACCAGAAAATGTATGAACCTAGTTAGTGTTTGACAACTTGGTTTTATTAAAAAAAGTTTTCCAATTCAGCAGGAATGCAAATGTGAAATTCAATCAAGTAATGGATATAAAGAAAACAAGCCCAAACCTTTTTCCTCCTTCAACAGAGACTATCAGACAGTTTGTTATAGACTACTCTTGTTTCTTTCATTTATGGATGCGTATAAGTTCATAAAACCATTCTCAGCAGACGTAATTAAGTTGTCAAGATCATAATGAACTTCAAAGGTGGGTTTCGTCCTAAAAATTACAATAGCAAGAAATACAGCAAAATGTGCAGTAAGTCCCCATATCTTGAATGACTTTTTACGTTCGTGGTCATCATATGTAAAACAGTGCATCCAGCTTAAGTAACCAGATGAGTTTTTATATGGCAAGGCCACGTAATTTAAGGGCTTGATAAAGTACTCCAATGGCACAACAAAAACATCGCTCACTTCGTCTGGATTAGGAGAGGCTTGGAAGGTATCCTCTATAAATCCTACAACTGGTGTTACCAAATGATTCATCTAAAAGAACAACAACAAGAAAAAAAATGACAGAAAACAAACACTAAGCTTGTACCAGGCAAAAGAAATTCCTTTATTTTAAAAACATTTCAGATGTTACAAAAGGAACACTGGAAGCAATCTTAACTAGAAGATATATACACTTTTTTTGGAACTGGTTATTTATGTTCATCCCTTCTTTGAAATGCAGGGGCAACTATTAAAATAGTAACTTGTATAAACACTATACCATAATTCTTTCAGATATATTACTAATTCTATTCATTAGTAACAGTAAAGCATCCCTGTTCAACAGCACTGATGGCAAAGCTCAACATTTGTGCTATTTGATGGAAGTCTAGAAGGACTCAATTTAAACTAAATCACTTTGAATGTATGTATAGAGATGACATAGCACAATCTAGGAGCTCAGACTTCTGCAATCCAAAACGACGTAACTTAAAAACTAAAGTGATCTTCTTTACATATCACTTCTGAAGTATGTGTTTTTTATGCTATTTGTATTTAAAAAAATAAATAAAGCATTTTGCAATGCAATTCTAACATTTTTTCAAATGTGAGGAGCACATTATTGAAAGTAAGCAGCTAACAGAAACAGATTGTTGGAGCATTAATAAGAAAACTTACCTGAAGAACAAAAATCAAGTCTTTTGAACCATTTTCCCCTCTACTGGAAAACTGCTCGCACACGATACTAAATATCACTATCGAAATTGGCAGCCTGGTACTTTACACACAATGACTTCAATGCCAGTGACATCTTAATTTCCATACAGAATCAGTCTACACAACCTCCAGAGGTCCCTTTCAATCTAAATTAATCCTGCTCTGAGCATGCTGTTGAATCAGATAACTCTGAGGTTACATCATGTTGCTCAGGGCTGTGCCTGGATAAATTCTGCCTGTCTCCTAAAAGTCAGAGCAATCTATTCCACTGCCTGGCTAATCACATGGTGAAGAATGTTTTCTTTGTACCTAATGTTTTCTTTTGCACCTGTTGCTGTTTGTGTCCACTGTGTCAAGACAAGTCTAGTGTCATCTCTATAACCACTCAGGAGGTGCTTGAAGAGATGAGATCCCCCAATAACTTCAAGCTGAGCAAACCCGCTTCTCTCAGCCACTACTCCTATTTCACATTCTCCAGCCCACTTAGCATCTCCTTGGCTCTATGCTAGGCACTCACCCATTTACCAGTGTCTTCCTGATACTCCCTAAGTGGACTTCATAAGTGGTCTCACAAACTCCAAAAAGAATCTCTTCCCCTCACTCTGCCAGCAGCACAGGCTGTATACTTTAAGAACCTGTGATTACAGGTTTGAAAAGGCCATTACCAACCATATGAAAGGAAATGACTTGCTTTCTAACGATACACTGATAGAGTTTATTGCTTACTTTATCAATCCCAGGCACAAGCCTACAGATGACTTCCACCTTCTCCGGCTGCAGTCCCACTTCTTCTTTAGCTTCTCGGAGAGCAGTATCAATTTCATCTTTATCCATTTCTTCCCTTTTACCTCCTGGAAAACACACCTCCCCAGGTGATCTTCTCATCTGGAATTTAAAGGAGTTGCATGTCATGAGTTTGTTTCACCTCATACAGCTCATGTTACAGAACCACCTCAGGCCTGATCTATCATCCTGAAGACTCGGGCACTGCGATAAGAGGTTCCTGCAGATAGAAGAACCGAGCCTTGTCAAGAGCTACACAGGAAGGCACTTGGTTTTACACGCTTGTATAACATCCCGCAATTCACGCTCTGCGTTCTGCTTTAACGCTTCAGAGCCGGAAATCACCTATCGCTGCCACAGCGACCGCCAGGACCCGGCCCGCACACACCTGCATGGAGCGCACGGTGAGCAGCAGGCACAGCGCGCCGTCCCGCAGCAGCAGCGGCAGCAGCACCGAGGCTTTGCGCAGAGGCAGATGGGAGAACTTGTCCCCAACATCGCACTCCCTCAAGCGGAGTTTCGCTTTCCCTTTTATACTCTCTCTGGAAGGAAACGGAACAAGAGCTGCGGCGCCCCGCGCTGTAGGCGGCCCGCGGGGACGCGGCGGGGCACGGAAGGCGACGGCCGCGGCCCGGCCCTCAGCTCGTCCCGGCGCCGAGATGAGCAGGCCCCACCGCGGCCGGTACGCAGCGGAGAACGCGCGCGGCGCCGCCTTCCCCTGCAGCGGGCCCAGAAAGGCGGCGGCCGGCCCCATTCTTCCTTCCAGCCCACGGCCACCGTCCGTCGAGCCGCGGTTTACCCGAGCCGGGCGGGCCGCTCCCTTTCCCGCTCGTCCTCCCGCTCCGCTTCCGCCATCTTTGCCACCCGCGACGCGAGCGCGACTTTTCCCCTTGCCTCTCACCGCCCTCTCCTGCAGACTGACGGACGGCTCCCTCCAATCAGCACGCGAGCTCACCAGGATCCGCATTCTGATTGGCGGGCAGCGGGAACAAGGCGGGGCTCGCAGGTGAGGCGGCACGCGGCCTTCCCGCTTCCCGCCCAGCGGCGCTGAGGAGAGGCTTCAGGCGGGCAGGCACGGAGCGGCCCGGGGGAGCGGACGAGCCACCGCAGCCTTCCCGCACGCCACCAAGCGCGGAGAGCAGCGCTGGGTGTCAGCTGGGAAAGCAGAAAGTCCCGGAGCGACTTGGCATCACCCTCCCAACACAGCGCGGCGGGCTCCTCCCCCTGAGCGGAAAGGCGGGGCCCGGGGCGGGGCGCTGCGCGGGTGAGGAGCTGCGCGCCCGCTGGGGGAGCTGGGGCGGGGCAGCGGCTACACGTGGAGAGCGCTGATGGAAAGGCTGGGAACGAACGAGGCTAATTGAAGCAATACAGGCTTGGCATAAAGGCTTAACAGTTAATGTCGTTAGCTCAGGGAAGATGCAGCACAGCAGCACGGGCGACACCTGAACCAAAGCAAAAGCAAATAAAGCCCCAGATTCCACACACTGTCCATTGTAGTGGGGATGATGAGGAGTAATTCACACTAATTATGTGGATGATTACTTTTTTCACTGCTATTTAGCCTGTTTAACTACTCACGTGTATGTTTACATACTTAAAATAGCAGCATATGTACAATACACGTGGTATTTCTTACAGTAAATAAAAACTCAGACACATTTACATGCACATCCTTCCTGTATCCACGTTGTTCCAGCAGAAGGCAATACCAAGTTTATGACCACTGTTCTGTTCCCATTCCATTGAAACACCTGAAAGGTGTCATTCATCCTTAATCACAAAATTATAGGAAAAAAAACCATACAGAAGTATGTCTTTAGAAATGCGTTCATTCCTCAGAGTAGTGCTTCAGTGAAATGAGCATGACTAGTAGATCACTTCTTCATACACATAGTACAGACCAGAAGACTGATGGTATCAGATTTTGTATTTTTCTTTGGCTTTCTCTTTGAGAATGCAAATGTGCTAAAAAAAAAAAAAAAAGAAAAAAAAAAGAAAAAAAGTACAACTTAAGTCAAACTTAACCTCCAAAGGTAATATAAAGATTATTTTAAGTTATATTCCTACTTGCATTCTCCTGTTGGAACTAAAACACAACATTTTGTAAGTTGAGTTAAACTATGCTTGCTGGGAAATGTCCTTTACACTGTTTTGCAATATCTCACCTTGACTACAACAGAACTGGTTTGTCATATTAAAGACTTTCAAGTGAGACACTTTTCCATCTAGACAGATTTATGTAAATGCTTATGAAAATTGTGGAGGGGAAAAGAAAATGATCTCTTACTTTCAGAGTCTGTCTACAACTCAGTGCAGCCTAAGGAGACTGTGGAGTACTATGTCCAGGTCTGGAGCCCCCAGTACAGAAAAGACAGGGAGCTGTTGGAGAGGGTCCAGAGGAGGGCCACAAAGATATTAAGCAGACTGGAGCACCTCCCCTATGAAGACAGGCTGAGGGAGCTGGGCTTGTTCAGCCTAGAGAAAAGAAGGCTGAGGGGTGATCTCATTGCAGCATTTCAATACCTTAAGGGACCCTATAAACAGGAGAGGAATCAACCCTTTGAAAGGGTTGATAACTGCAGGACAAGGGGAAATGGTTTTAAGTTGAGGGAGGGGAGATTTAGGTTGAATGTCAGGGGGAAATTCTTTACAGAGAGAGTGGTGAGGTGCTGGAACAGGCTGCCCAGAGAGGTTGTGGATGCCCCATCCCTGGAAGTGTTCAAGGCCAGATTGGATGGGGCCCTGGGCAGCCTGGTCTAGTATTAAATGTGGAGGTTGGTGGCCCTGCATGTGGCAGGGGGGTTGGATATTCATGATCCTTGAGGTCCCTTCCAACCCTGGCCATTCTGTGATTCTGTGACTATAGCAGAACAAAGGAGTTGAGGTCTTGATAGACATATTCTGCAGTATAGGAAACACCTTCATACATAGGTCAGTCTACTGCCAGTTTTGAACATTTTACTAGAAAAAAACAGCATAGGATTTCACAAAGAAACATGAAGTCAAAACCAAATTACAAATTAATTTCTTTTTAGATGCAGTGTGCAGACTATGCTGCCAACCATCCTGGAAGATTCAGGATACTACATGGCAAGGCTGAGCTACTAGGCTTGTGAAGCAGATTCATAGATAGGTAAGACATGGACTAGTAGTCCTGCACTTAAATTATGGTCTGATCGTATTAATGTTTTTGCCCCCCTTTTTTTTTTTTCATGAAAGTATCTAGTCAATTTGAAGTTTTGTTAGTCGTCTACAAGCACCTACTATAAGGTAATATTCATTACTGTTACCACAGGTAACTAACAAGCATGTAACAGTCAAGGTACATTCATATGTACTTACATTCAGATCTCTGAAGTATTCATTATAGTCAAGGGCATATCCAACCACAAACTTATCTGGAATTTCAAAACCTATATCTGTGAAACAAACACACGCCACAAGTCTTTTTCTATTTAGGTAGTAGAAATATCTTTTAGATACGCAGTTTGCATTCAACATATGGGTCATCTGTTTAAGCATAATACTAAGAAATATTTCATCTTGCTTTCAAGGTACTTAGAATGCCTAATACTTAAGAATCAGAGCTGCAAATTGAAGATCAATGTTAGAATCTATGCCATCTTTATCAGTTAATGTTATGTATATATCTTTTTAGAATACATTTAAACCTATTTATGAAGCAGTCATGATTGTCAGTTTTAAAGCTTTTATTTATTTTCTCCATATTTCTTTTGGCCTTCCTGAAACTTACATACTAGTTTTCATATGCATGAAATGATATCCTATTTTGGACAACCAAATGCAGTACTTACAGTCTGGTCTGTAACCTGAACTTCGGTTTGTCATTTTAATGAGCAAGCTGTAATAAAGAGGAGTGATGGTTAAGATTTTTAAAATGTCATATTCCAAGCTCTTTTCTTCACTTCTCCCACTCTTCCCCAATAAGCTTCTATAGTAATGCAGTTAAAATAATTTTATTATTTTATTTTAACAGTTGTAGAAATAGTTTTCAGCCTTATAATAGAGAAATAAATGAAGACTTGAATCTAGGATCATTCAAAAAGTCCAAATGGAACTTACTGCTTTACATTTAATTCTTTTCAATTTTGTATTGCGAATCATTTGTTCCCCCCTCCATACAGCTATGTATCAGCATTGATAGGTGGGGAAATTCAAGCAGCATTTAAAGATTTTAGGAGAGAAATAATATAAACAAATACAAGCTGTGAGTTGTTACTCCAATTTCTGCCACAAAGTTATATCCATCCTTTATTTTCCTGTGGACTTCTGAAGATGCTGGGAACCTGGAAGGTTGCTGCAGGGAGCATAACTGTAGATACATAATTCCTTTTAGATACCAACCAAAAGCAGGTCTAGAATGCCTCTTGAAGTCATTTTGTAATGCTGACAAACTCTTAGATTTTACAAACTCAGATGATTAAGGATGGATATCAAGGGGTGGCAATAAGTCTTGTTATCATTCTAGTATTGAGGAAACTTAGAAGGTGTTAGAGAACCTATTTAAAGAGCTGTTTTCTTTTGAACGTAAACAGAACCCATCAGATTTTATAGACTAAGGAAAAAAAAGCCATGAAGCTTTTTTATTTTAACAATATGTTTGTGCATATCTTGATCATTCACAAGTGATTTTACTATATCTTATTACCACACATTAATAAATAACCATGTGGTTATACCTTACTACTTTTATCATCTTTGGTTCATTGTCCTTCAGTTTTGAAAGCAGTGCCTTCATTGTTCTACCAGTCTCAATAATATCCTCAAAGAAATAAAAAAAAATAATAATAATCATTCAAGTCTGAAAGAAAAAGCATGTTTTTAGTATATTAATGTAAAGCAGAAAAAACAGCAGCCCTGACAATGTGCTAAGATGATATGCATGCTTTAGCTAACATGTGATTAAGTGTTGTTTTAAATGTAATTAATATTAACCTTGCAAAGTAGGCAGAACAACACCTTCCCTTCCCCCCCCCCACCCCCCAAAAAAAAAAAAAAAAGAGATCTTTACTCACCTCTACTACTAACACATTCTAGAAAAAGAATCACATAGGGAAGGAAAGAAAAGGAAGTATTTACATGAAGAGCTTCAGCAAATTAAATGGCCAAAAAAAAAAAGTCTGTATTACAAACTTCACTCACATGTAAGTTGTAATCAGTTTTCAAAGGAGCTTGTCACTTAGCTACTTAGAATTACTTAAATGCTTGAATTTTATTGCTTTCCTAAGAGTCCTTCTGAAATTGTATATAGAAGGACAAAATATTGAGAAAACTATCAGGTCTCGTATAGTACCATGTGTATAGGAAGAACACCCTGACAATATATTGCATAAATCAGTTTAAGATGGTTCATTTCTGTAGGTTGTGGGAAAAAACACAGAACAGACTTTTATAAGTATTTCAGTGCTGATCATTTTAAGTTTCTACTGAGATCACTGGGAATTACTGTTTAAAAGTGCCAATTATTATTATTATTATTAAACAGCCACATAAGACTTATTTGTATAGTACCAAAATGTTAAGGGTAGGCTTCCTGGAGGATACTCAAGAACTGCTCTTTCTCCTTAAAAACTGAAGTTCCCTAGTCATACCTTCCCATTTAATGCAGACAGTTCTTCTCCAGCAATACTGATTTTCTCTGTAGGTGAATCGTTCTAAAAGGAGAAAGGGAAATTCACACAAAATATACTCTAGAGTACTGCATTGCATTTATGTAATGTTTGCTGCTTTGGCTGTTCTCCTGTGAAATGGTACTTGCAACTATATACAGCATTGCTTCAGTAAGAGAGCTTTTAAGTAGTTGAGAACAAGACAAGGACGTGATATATCAATGCAGGCATGTTTGCACAGAATACTTCTGAGCAAAAATACATCCATGTTCCAGAATAGAAACCAAATAGCTTTCGGCTATTTTTGTTACTGCCAATTTTTTAGAATTTTATGAAATATTTATAAGATATTGTAAACTGATGTATTTAGCATGGAATCCATTTTTTATCAGTGCACAGGACTTAAGCCTTCAAAGCAAGTAGAAGGTGAAATAGAGAAAATACTCTTGTCATTGTTTTTCAATAGTTGGCTCAGGCCAGCCAGGGTTGGCTGAGCAAGCTTTCCCTTTCCCAGCACATGTATTTCAGAAACAAATTTCTGCAGCAATGGCAAGCAATGCAGCTAGAGAAAGTAAGCAAGTCTCTGATGCTAAGCTCCTCTCCACTCTCCCTCTTAAGAAAGGCTGCCATTTGAAAGAGAATAGAGCCTGTATGGAAACAGCAGGCTGGAGAGGAGGACACTGAAGACCTGACCCTGACTTTGTCACATGAAGTATCCATCTATAGACCAATTCCAGTAAATTTACAATATCCTTCTGATCATTGGGCAGATCAGTAAATCAATTTATTGCCTGCTTTTCAGAACATAAGTTGGTCTAAACATGATAAATTCAGTTTTTGTGGAACTTCCGTATAAATATTTAGTATTCAGAATGGCAACATATGGGGAGAATCAATTTTCCAAGGAAAAGAAACTTACACAGTGACTTTTTATTCTAACAAAATCCACAGTAATAGGCACAGACTTATCACCATTTTGATTTAGTGCTTTTATATGATCCAGCAAGTCAGCAAAGAACTTATAGCCTCCTTTAAGGACGCAGAGTGCAACAATGTGGTGGCTTCCCATATCTTGCATGATATCTCTAGCCAAACGTTCTGTCCTGGAAGAAAAAAAACAAACTCTAATTTCTGTAAAGAGTTTTGATCATCATATTTGTTTGTTTGTCCACCTGTTAAACAATGTCCAACCATTTTGGATTTTGTTTTTAAATAACAAAACTGTGACCACATTAAGACCCTGGCAGTCTAGTTACATATACGCAGTTAAGTTCACCAAATGACATCTACTCTATTTGACATACTGTTGATTTAAGTTATATGTAAATAACATGGAAATGGAAAGCTTAAAGATATTTGAGGTAACAGAAACTTAGCTGAAGCTATAGAAGAGTCCTCTCCTTAAAACACCTCTTGTATTAAAATCCAGAGTACATCTTAATTTTAGAGCCACAGAGTTTCCATACTTCTTACGGGCTATACAGACAGGATAGAGCAGCAATCTTTTCATTTGGAGGGAACCTAGTCATTCCATCAATAACACTATTTATTATTCTCATACCTGTCCAGGATTAGTCCATGAGGAATGTAAACTCTTTCTATATCTTCTTCATAATGCTTAGGAATGCAGAACAGGTTTTTGTTATAGCCACTGTCTTCATCTTTTATCTGAAAAGGAAATAGCTAAGAGTGAAGATGGAGCCATTCAAAGGGGAGAAAAAGAAAAAAGCCTTCCAGTCTAGCACAGAAAGAAAGGACAGAAAATCACCTTGTCTCTTCCTCTATACTCTGCACAAACATAGCCTGCTTTGGATTTTAAATATACTCAAAGTTACAGATTAATCACTTAAAGGCAGAAAATAGCAAGAGAAACTCACAGAGAAGCAATATGAATAGGCTTAACTTTGAGATGAACAAATCAGGAGCAGTATGTTCCCAATTCCTTTTTTTATTTAGCAATAAAGTGGACAGCTACTTCAGGAGAACACAAAGTTTTAATGTAATGATGGTAGTCTGCCTTCTTGCTGAGACTGTAAGTCAGACTTCGCATGCATGATGCTCTGTTACCAACTGAACACCCTTTCATTTTTCAAAACAAACTTCAGAACCAAATATTTGTTGGCTTGCTAATGAACAACACAGAGCTATGAATTTGGTAGTGATAGCATAAAGTATTGTGAGCCGTGAAGTTAACACCTGCTTTTTTTGGACATAGGAGAGACGAGTGCTTAAGTAGGGAAAAAATGGATGTAGGGAGCAGAAGTAATTTATTACTTGCAAAATTTGCAACAGTTGCAATGAGATAATCAGTTATTACCTTCTGAATTGTCCATAAATCCACTTAAGGATTAAATAAGATGGACAGTTAACATAAATTTCAAAAGATTAGAAGGTAACGCACACTGTTCAGCCAGGATGAGTTTCTAAGCATTCTGCAAGTACTCAAAATTAATAGGCCTTGATGTTTTCAGTTAAACTTGCAAGAAAATTCTTGCAGTTGATCACGACCTGGTATGTCAGTGCTGCTGTTTTGCCTGTTTTAGTTACTGCTTTCCTCATGTCTGAAGTCAGTGAAATGAAAGCTCAGATGGGGATTGTTTTCAAATCAAGTTTGCTTATGCCTTATTAATCTTGCAGGAGATACTGGCAGTTACACTGGTACCAGCTGAACAGCTTTGCCAGTGGTAGCGTAACTATTGAACAAAACAAATCTTGAAGCATACAGGCATGCATAGTGATAGTTGCTTAATCCAACAGCATGGTTTAATACCTTTTATTTGGTTAATAATTGTGCTTATTAAGACAGTTTTTTTGAAAACAAAGTCATTACGGTAATGTTTTGTTTTCTACTACGTCTAAAGAAAGTAAGGTCTACTGAAAGGTTCATAAACAGAACATTAAGAATTGCCTCAGTTTGAGCACGACATCACCATAGCAACATGCTGCCTCTACCTTACAGGCTCACAAAAGCACTTGTATCATGGCACATGCTAAATAGTACAGCAGCATCCTCTTATAATAAAGAAGCCCATGAAGCTGTAAAACAAGTCATTGAATTTCTTTAATCATAAGCTCATACCTCAAGAAATTAGTTGTTTAAGTGGGATTCATTCTCATTTTCTGTTCATTTACTGATGTAGCCAGATTTCTTAGTTACAAAGTGGGAAAAATTAAATCAACAAGCTACAACAGTTAGATGCAGTGAGATTCATAAGTATGTGTTGTTTCATCAGTACAGAATGAAGAAACACAAACATAAATACATTAAAGTTAAACACAGATTGTCACATTGGTAAATAATTGAACTTAACACATGCATCTGTTATAAAAGCTGTTATGGAAGATGAATTTTTTTACTAAGAATAGAAAAAATGCTTTTAATTAGTCAACGTATCTAAAAATGCACTTTTTTTTTTTTTTCTGTAATTAACCTTCCCCCCATCTTAAAAGCTCTCTCAGTAAGATAACCAAATATTAATGCATCGTGTTTTCTTACCTGCAATCCACAAGCCATAATCTCACTTTAAACTATATTACCAGAGAACAAGGTGGTGTTATTATTGCAGTTTGTCTCGCTTTATTTTCATCCTGCAGTTAAACCATGACATGCTTCTCAGCAAGGTCAGAACTGCTATCCTTCCTAGAGGAAGCGTTACTTCCTTCTACTAATGTACTGACATCACAATCCCAGGTTTTTACTTAATTAGATTAACCAGAAATAAAATGGGCATTAGTCCTGCTGCAGCCAATCAAGAGTAAATAGAATGGAGAATGAGGGAGATGCAAAAGGAAAGCACATGAATCAAATTAGTTAAAACAACTAGGCAGGATAGCATTTTTTAACTGAAAACACAGATCTGCTAATTGCTTGTAGCAGGTGGCAGTTCAGTGTTGCATATGCAGAAGATAGTTTCATATACTAATTTCTTATACAATATTTGTACATTTTTTTTTAATAAAGTCCACATATTTATTTTTTACTTGCTATAGAAAACTAATATTTGGATAAACAAAGCCAGCTTTTTCACAGTGACTTGAAGCAGATGTCTGAGATTATCAGACAAGTTATCATTTTGTAGAGAGAGGTCAATAGTTCCTGTTCTGTACTCCATAACATTTTAAATCAAATGGCATTGACATTCACTGTAATCTGATTATTTTAATGTACCAAACCTAGTATTATCTAGGATTAACATGAAAGTCTTAGATTTCTGAAAATTAATCCTACTAACAAAATGAGCTAAAGGCAGCCTGCACACATCATGTTACAGAATGTTCTTACCAGATTGAGTACATTTTATTAATTCATCTATATGAGTGTTTTCTTGGTGGGGATGGGGAGGAAGGGCAAGTAACAAACAAAGATTTTTCTCCATGTTTTGTAATCATTTCTGATAACACGGGATATTGCAGGAGAAATCTTTGAAGTGGATTAATGGGCATATTTTCAATTTTCATTGATATCTTAGTAGTATTTGGGAATTATTTATGTCTTGAGAATATTTGGCCTCTATTTTTATACAATTAAAGTTATCTTCTTTCCACGAATTCTGAATCATTTTCTTTACCTGACATAAGTGAACTCCCTATCTTGTGAAAAGCCATGCTTTTCTATTTTCTAGTATAAGACACTCCTTTCTAGCAGGTAGTAATTTGGGTTCAAAAACCTGGGATGGCAACCAAAGAGATTATTGTTATGACATTGCTTTATTATGTGGACAGCAGTTCAGCTGGAACGAGATGGGGAAATAGGTCTATTCTGCTTAAATCCCCATAGATGGGAAGTGCCAAATGGGCAACCATGTGGCCTCCAATATTTTCTGAATGGATTCATAAAAAGCAGTCAGGTTGAAAGCCTGTGTGGGGAAAGAAAAGATTTTGGAAACTCTCAGCTTTGAAAAAAGTTTAGTATTGGACAAAATATATGTTTTCATTAAACTTAAAGCCAATTCAGGAATCCTCTGCTGACTCTGAAACTGGGAAAACTACTTCTCACATCTTTATTTGAGCCTTAACAGCAAGTGCATACACTACCACTGGGCAATTACTTGAAATTCCAGTAGATGTGTTAGTGGTCTCAGTTGCTGTTGGTCAGAGATTTACATTATGAAGATTAGTGCTACTGTGGGTATTTTTATGATCACATTCTAAATTTACAGGTGAAAAGTTCAGCCAGTAGGTGTAGCTGTACAGAGACTGGAGATTAATTATATCAGCTGGTAAAACAACAACCAGTCAATGCAGAACAACACTGCTTTTGTCCTTGCATTCATTTCCTGAACTATGAATCAATAAGTAGTTTTTACAGGATGTTACTTTGCTGTTTACATACTCATCAGTTTGCTGAACAGCTCTACATTTTCTTACAGTTTGAAGGAACTGTTAAGTGCTGCAGCAATTTTATATCTTCTCAAGAAACAGGTATAGGTTAATTCCTGTCAGGGATTTCCATTTAGTTACTTTAAATTGGGAAGCAAATTCATGTTGCTGGATGTGTTCTACATCTGTTCCATTGTTTTACTAAAACTTTACAAATAAAACATTAGAGAAAGTGTCCACTAGAGGGAAGCCTCTACCACAGAAGACAGTCCTTGCCAAGAAAAAAGAAAAAGTATTTAAAAACAAAAACACTTTCAAGAATAAGACCATGTTCAAGTTATATATATACAGATCTCTCGCTGAAATACATTAAAGGTACATTAAAACAGATCTCCTATATATTTAGACCAGTTTCTGAATGTGTATAATCATAGATTATGGGAGAGCTGCTCTAATTGGCACCCCTGAAGACCTGATCCATGGACTATAAGAGGCTGATAAAGTATTAAATTAATGCTGAGAGCTTTCATTTGGTGACCAATGTATTATTAAGCAAACTGATCAATATGCTATAGAAATATTTCTATTTCAGTAATTTGGATCCCATCCTAAATCTGTCTTTGTTGGATGCTTTAAGTCACAGATAAGACCAGCTGCTTAACCAGCTTGCTAAAAAGCTGTTTGAAACAAACACACAACACATCTGTGCCAAATAGTGCACGTTACTGTTAGAAATTAGAAACAATTTCACAATATTAAGTCTCTACTATACTTTTTGTACTCTACTACTGTAGAGTATATAGTTCCTTTACATGAAAAAATTGATTAGTATGAGCATTTCTACTTTCCTTGGCTATTTTTCTTTTGGCAAATACATGAGGTAAATTATTTCATTAAAGCAGAAAAGTGATCTAGGTCTTGGCCAATATTGGATATCTATAAATATCGTGCTTGAAAGGTTTTCTGGTTTTGCAACTCCTGTAGTACTCTAATGTTTAGGAAATGCAGACTGATTGATGGCAGAAGTTGAAAGAAACACCCCAGTAAAAGGTGACTCAGATTTCAGTTTGAATATTTATTGTGAACGCCCCAACATCAGTTCTTAAATCCCAGTTCTGAAGACTCAGACATTTGATTGCTGATATGGAGGAAATGTACAGTATTTATTGACCAAATCTTTCCAACCACAAAGTAAATACTGGTATGACTGTTTGGGGAAAATCTTTAAATATATTTTGCCACATCTGTTTTGTAGATAGAAGTGTTTCAGTCTCCTGGACTGTCTGTATCAGAAGTCATTTTGAGAGAGAATCTGGTTAGGACAGGGGGAATGGAGCACAGGGACAAGGAGTCAGGACTTCTGGGTTTTATTCACAGCTCTGACACACTGTTTATTTGCTGTTTGACCCTGGCCAGTTTATTTTCATGACTGCTTCTGTTGTACCTCTGACCTTCCTATGTGCCTGCTTTTCCCCTGTTGTCTCCTGTAATGAGTTGACCATGGTTTTCTGATACTTCTCTTCCATGTGCTGTGAAGGTCAAAGTTATTTTTGAGAAATTGCCATTAAAAAAAAAAACACTGCTGTCATTAGCTAGTGGTCAAATTAATGATTTGAAAAAGATTGTGTTCTATTTACTTGAATGTTAAAGAATGGTTGTTCTAGTTTAATATGTCATTGAGCAAATATGAGTTGTTCCAGAGCTGCCACAGTGTTCAGTGTGTCTCCCCTGCCAAAAGCTGGTGGAATTGTTTTACCTAGGGAGCAATGGGTGGTCCAGGAAGTGGTCTGCTTGGCTCTTGGGGAGCTGGACTCATCTTCACTACAGAGATGTTTAATAGAAATATTTGTTGAACAATGGTTGAGTATGTGATTACAGCTGTTTTCTTTTAGCAATGTAACAGCAATAACAATTAAATCCATATTCCTCCTTGGATATTTATTTTCCTGAATTCATTCTTAGTGCAGTGAAAGAATTTGATGTGAATTGCAAGAAGATAGAACTGTCTGTAATTGATTTAGGATTACTTGTCTTACCTTTTTATGATTATATTATTACTCAAAACCTTAAAACATAGCGCAGAAACGCATACCAAAGAGATCTCACAATGAAAAATACTCTAAAACTCTTCCCTTTATTTACATCTAATCATTATTTTTAATTGTTAACAATGTTCTGTTCTGCAAAACAACGTTGGACTGCTAGAAAAGATAAATACCGTCTTCCAATAACAGCATATAAGAAAAATGTGGACTGTGCATTTGTGCAAAATAAAAAAAGGACTCTTTCCAAAGTACCATGCAATTACCATATTCAAATAAAGATAGTTCATCTCAATCTAGAAAACCAGCTATTTCAGTGTTGCCAATGCCTTTTGTTGAGACCTTGTTTAATGATATGACACTTTTGTATGGCCTTGCTTAGAAAGATTTTACTGCTACTACTTCTGTTTACATATAAGCAGATCCTATGGCTAGCAGCTTGCATTGAAAACCAGTGCTAGTGTGCATTGGCTGCTCAGTGTCACCTTCAATCTAAAAAGGAAATTCAGGGCTGGTCTTTCTATAGAAATATAGCAATGGAACAACCCAAGAGAAAGCTGCTATTACTGATTTTTGATGCTTTGATTCCTTCTTCCATCAAGCTGATAGCATAGGTGACTCTGGAATCTGTTTACTTCATTTTAATTTTCATTTCAATTTTTTGATTCAGTGCTGCAGTGAATTGAGTGAAATACAATCTATTGGAGTTACTGTAGTCAGTTATCTCTACTAGAGTCCTCTGTAAGCAAAAGCTTCCAGACACTCCAAGTAATTCAGAATCACCACTTTTCTCTTCTGCCTATATTCTCCAATTCAGTTAATTGTTTCTTCTTCACCCTTTAACAACCTATATTCCAAACTGACAGTTTCTTGTATTTAGTGTGTATGTTTTGCCAGCCTTAAAATTAAATATGCCTTGTTTGTGGTACTTGAGAGACATTATTAAAACAAGACAAAGCTTGAAGTTGTTATGCTGGAGGCTTACATTTAGTTTTGAATTTCTTTCCAGTAAATGCTTATGTGTTAATAAAGTAGTATAAATTTCTTATAAAGCCTCCCTAAGCAACATTTTTTTACATAGTAGCTCTGAAAGAGGGTAAGTTGTCAGCTCTGATATTTCAGAAACTGATTTATTTACCCTTTCAAAAATCTTTTGCTAACGTTTAGAAAGTGTGCAAGAGAACAATCATCAATGTAAAAAAAAAATGCCTTCAGCTCTGTTCTCCTTTTGCTGTCATCATTCTAACCCGCCTGCCAGGTCAAGTTTTCCTTGTGTAATATGTGAAGTGTGGTACAGGTTAAGTCCTCCCACATGAAAAATTGTATGTGAAATATTGATTTATTCTATGCAATACTATACATTTTACATAGAAGCAAATCAGAGATCTGACCTCATTGAAATCAAACAGCATTTAAAGGAATTTAAGCAAATTAAGTATACAACTCACATCTCTGGAGTTGGAGATATCCAACTTTTATTTCCAATTCATTATGCTTCAGATTTTCAGACCTAGGTATTTAAATTACTTGCATGTCATTTTTAATCTAACCAGAATTTGGAGAATGGGTTTGCTTTATGGATACATGGACATTAGTGGGATAAATAAAAGGTTTTTAATGAAGCACATTGCTTCAGAGTTCTCTGATGCTTTCATAGTAACTTCAATTTGCGAGAAAAAACAATAAAACTGGAATCTGAATTGTTGAAAGTTATTATAGTTTTACTGTAGTTAATTTACATCTGCTTTAAGATATATATACTGGAAATTAAACCTATGCCATTATCTGATTAAAGAGTGAAACTAATGTTATTTATATTGGATCCCTAAATAATACAATTTAAAATGTAATAGTTGAAGTTTGTGTGTGCTTATAGAAAATTGTTTTATTTGAAAGATGCTGATTATTTATAAACAGCTTTGTTTTATCTAAAAGTATTCATCAAGTTTTAATGTAATGCAGGCGTGGCACTGCTGTTATGTCTCAGACTCAGTGAGATGGGTTTCTTGTTCATTCTCATAAGTATTGAGTACATAAGCATATTCAGTAAAAACAACTCAGGTTTGCCATCAGTTCTCCTAGAAGCACCTTGACTAAAATCAGAATGCTTGTATGGCATCCAAAATATCTTTCAAACAAAAAAAGAGCCACTCAACTCTTTTTTAGAGCATAATTGACACAGCAAGTGTTTTAGCTGTATTCAGCC